GCCTGCATGTTTATGCTGATTACATGTAGAGGAGTGTTTTGGAATGATATTATCTGTACTTGTAGGTTTTCTATAGACGTTAAAAATCAAATGTTGATTAATGTTATCCGTAGTAATTTGTAGGTCTAAAAAATTTAAAGTAAGATTTTCTTCCTTTTCTATGGTGAAAGCTAAATTGTTTATGTTATTGAAGATATTAAAAAGTGCATGTAATTTCGCTAGATTTCCATTAAAACAATAAATATGTGGAATCTACATATCTGGAATAAAAGGCAATGTCGATGTCGTTAATAAAAAGTTTATATTTATCAGAAAACAACTCAGATTCAAAAAAGTTGACATAAATGTCAGAAAGTATTCCCGAAATGGGAGAACCCAATGGGAGTTCATCACTCATAGTGTAAAATTTATCATTGAAGGAGAAGAAATTTTGTTTGCATACTAAACCAAGCAATTCCAAGAAGCAATCAATTTCCAAAATATTAAAGCCAGTGAGATCTTGAGTGTCAATGAGATGTTTTCTTATTATAAGAATGGTTTGGTGTATTGGGATATTAGCGTAGAGGTTTTTTTATATCAAACAAAAGAAGTGTGCTATTTTTACGTAGTTGGAAGTTCTTTAGTTTATGGATGAGACTAGAAGAGTTACTAACAGTATTACTACTGTTACTGTACTAGATTCAGAAAAAAATCCTCTTTCATACTCCGTAATAAAAATGGGGGATTACGATTTGAAAAAATATCGATAACGTCATAAGTCGTTTATAAAGGCGGAAAAAATTTAAAATCTACACTAAAAAAATGATTTAGGGATTTTTTCATAAACCGTTTAGAATGATTTTATCGTCTACAGAGTGATTCTTAACCTATACGCATAAACTTGGGGATTTATTCCTCATGACAAATAATTACTAATAGGTGAAAAAAATTTTAGTAAAAGTTTTTTAATTTCCTAGATATCCGACATATGCGGCGACATCTAGATAATATGTTTCGCGGAAGATGGATAGGTCGACAGGATGGTTCAACGAAGATATTCATTTTTTGGGGTCAATTGCAACGATTTGGGGTCAAAGAACAAAAATTAGAATGCAAAGTTTCGGACTTAGAATAATTTAAATAAATTAAAAAACAGCACTTGAACGATGACATTTATTGTAAAAAGCTTAGTTTTCTACCGGTTTCGACTGTGCAACAGTCATCCTCAGGAAAACGACCTATATAAAACAAGGATTACATTAATAACTTTAAGTATCGTAAAAGAACGTGTGCTTATTCATGTCTATCTTAAAATATGAAGAAATATAAAAATTAATACAGATAACTTACGTCAACGAACATTTGAGGTTATATTTCAGTTGCAAATCACATATTTGCGCGCCTAAAAGTTTTCACAGTTTATCATTTCTAAATTAAGTTATATTAATAGTTTTTTGTGAAGTTTTTTACTAAGCTTTTTACAATAAATGTCATCGTTCAAGTGCTGTTTTTTAATTTATTTAATTCACACGATGATAAGAAAAATACACAACTCCAATTAGAATAATTTAGCTAGAATTCTTTATCTTATCTGATGCGGGGCACGAACGACTGCAAATTTATGGGAACCAACTGTGTGGGATATATTTTCCAAATCGAAATTTTATTGTCCCTTAATTTAATTTAATTTATTTATTTTTTTCACGACCAAATATGAATACTTTTCACTAAGTCAGTGAGGTATACTATGTGTAAGAGTATATGTATCGGGCGAGAGACGAACCCACACCTGTTCTGGTAAAACTAAGAAAAAAGAGATAATCTATGTTTCTTAGTTAAGTAGATCATATTAATAGTGATTTTTTTAATAATGTAATCCTGATTAACCATGCTACTGCCGATGTTAAAAATCACATAACAAAAGTCGTTAGTTTTGCGAAAAAAACATTATTTTGATTGACTTAAAGTAGAGAAATTTGATGTCTATTATGTTTGACATACGATTTCTAAAAATAGGAATACTACAGCACCCTTGGTAGGTAATTTTAAAAGATGGCCTATTTAGTCAATATTTCCAAATCGTATAACACTTGCCCTTTCTCTTTTTATAAAAAGTATTATTGCCTGTTTTTCTGCGAAAAACACTTAATTTCAAAATTCATACTTTCGTATGCTATTTGTATTTCTTCCAAAATAATTTACCAACTTTATTAGAAAATGTGCCACTCAATATCTACGGAGAAATATGGTTTCAACAAGATGGTTGCCCTTATGTCTTGCAAAAGGACTGTTTCGAATAAAGAAAGACAAAATTAATCCAAAGGAATTATTAATTTATTTATTATTAATTTTATTACATAATTTCCTTAAAACTAAAGCAAATGCTCAAATTATTTGCCGTCGACACTAATACAAGCTCTCATTGTCGTAGAAAATATCTTTCTACTAGCTGTGCAAATCTCCATGCATTTATTTCTTCTGCTGCTGTATAAATATTGTGGCGCAGTTTGGGCACGATATTCAATGGGTTTTGAACAAACTTTTTCTTTTATGCAACCCCAATAAAAAATAAAGGGAATTTAGCAAAGGTGCCATAGTACTCCTTTTCTTAAAAAAAAATGTATCAAACTTAATAGACATAATTTTTTTGAACCTTAACTCAATCAAACTAATATTCTTATTACAATTAAGTAATAAGTACAATTAAGTAATTAAGTTACTAAGGATTACATTATTAAAAAATCACTATTAAATTAGGAACATTTCTGACCATAGCACTTACAGATATGATCTACTTAACTAAAAGACATCTTTCTTATTTTTACCAAAACAGGTATAATAATAATAATAATACATTTATTGAGATACCAAATGTTACAAACAACAATAATAAAAACAAATAAAATATAAAATCAAATAAAAAAATTACGATGGTATTTCTCAAAAGGAACTGCGTCAGTGCTAACGCAACATTTTGCGATTTGAAACAAACAATATTTATTCAATAATTAACAAAAATAATATTCAAGAAAAGAAAATAATGTACTATGCTTCAGTGAGCAAATAGAAAAAAAAATAAACAAAAAAGAAAACTATAAAATGAGGTTACAATAAGAATTATGTAACCAAATAATAAATGCGTAGCATCTCCAACTAGCCGAAAGTCGAAAAGTTTAATAAACAAATGCTATAAAATAAGAAAATAGACAAATGATCTGATATATCACAAATCGAACTGTCGCATACTTAAAAGGAATCTAAATTGCTTTTTAAACGTTAGTGTTCCCAAGGCTGTGTTTACATGGTGGCATATATCATTAAACAGAAATGGTACGCAATATGAAAATGATCTTTTAAATATTTGTTAAATATTATAGTAACGGCGTGTCTGCGTCGGACATTGATATTGTGTATATCAGTTCTGACTCTAATTTTATTGTACAAGTAGGGTGGACTTTTAAATTTTAATATTTTATGATAAAGCAGACACAATGTAATATTCTGCGATTTTCCATATTCAACCAACGCGCCCAAGTTAAAGTATGTGAGATATGAATCTTCGGATTCCAAATATAAACCGTAAACATGCATTCTGCACCCCCTGTATACGAGCACTGTCAACGTGATCTAAGCAGAAACGGTACAGCTGGTCACCATAATTAAAAATTGACAAGATAAGTGTGTCACATAACTGAAGCCTCAGTCTTCGGTTTAAAAGATGCTTGCTGCTATATAAGACTTTAAGAGTATAATATGCACGCCTAATCAGAGTGTTTACATGTTTTTTAAATCGGAGGGAAGAATCTATTGTGACACCCAAGTTACGCGCTGTACCAAAAATTTCAATCCGATTATTCGAAACAAAAATTTCTAGTTCTTCCCGAGCACGTCCAGCAACATTTTTACCCCCCAACACGATAGCAGACGTTTTTGCAGCATTAATGTTAAGGCAGTGACTTTTAGCAAAACTAATAAGAGACTGTAAATGTCACTCAATTCAAAACTACAAAACAACTGTGTATCATCTGCGTACATGTGAGGTTTGCAAAATTCCAATGAACTGCACAACTTTAGAGTGTAAATTAGATAAAGAAGAGTGCCCAATATTGATCCTTGGGGTGCTTCAGAACTAACAGGCTTCTCTTTAGATCTTTTGTCATTGCAGACAACTACCTGGAATCTTCCTGACAAGTAAGAACTGAATAATTGTATAGATCGCTCTGATAATCCAATAAAATTTAAAATAGACAGCAAGGTTTTATGGTGAAGGGTGTCGAAAGCCTTAGAAAAATCAAGTAATATTAACAAAGAAATCATATTAGAATCTATAGCATGTATGATGTCATCAGTAACATCAAGGAGAGCAGTCGTACAACTATAACCTGGACGAAATCCAGACTGAAAAGTAGGCAAGATGTTCATATTTACCAATATGACACCATAGCTCAGATGAGACAACCCTTTCAACGACCTTCATATGGGTTGGCTTCTCGTCCGATACCCGCCAGACGTTGAGTTTCGGGATTTCAAAAAAAAAAATAAATTAAATTAAAATATGACCTTTCAAAAAATAATTGTGACCTTCAATCAAAATTCTAAGTCCCAAAAAATCGGAATAAAATTTCGATTTGGAAAATTTCTTCGACACAGTTCCCAGAAATATGCAGTCGTTCGTGCAGCCATCAAATAAGATAAATTATAATTTTGTCGATTTTGTCGATTGATTGGAATAATAAAATTATTAAAATTCTAGCTAAATTATTCTAAGTCCGAAACTTTGCATTCTAATGAATATCTTCTTAATTGCTCCTAGAAACAAACACATAATTAAACAAAAGGTCAGACAGGCGGTTAATTCTATTTCGAATTTGAATAATTCTGTTTTGAATATAACCCCTTTAAAAGAGTTAGGATTTCAAGAAGAATTCACACAATCTCTCACACCACCAGTGAGTGCCATTAGTAAGGCAACCAACCAATCAATCGACTAAACAAAAATGAAAACTATAATTTTATTAGGCATGTTGATTAGTGCAATCACGTCGCAATCAGTCGAACAAACCGAATCTAACGGTAAGTTGTAACTAATTTTATTTTAATTTTGTATACCGTATATCCGTTACTTTACGGACGTCTGTATACCGACGTATTTTCTCAAATTTTTATGAATTAATATCATAAAAAAATAATATACGAATAGGGAGGAAAATTTGAAAAATGTTAATAACAGTTATGATACCATCTGTGCTAAAGATTTGTACGAAGAAATAGAAATTTTACTAACATGTTTGTTCCTTAGTATGAATGCAATGAATGCTCCAGATTATATCAGTATTTTGGATTAATTTAAGATGCTTCCAAATGTTTACAAACTTTGCCAGTCAGTGTTGCATCACAAGAGTGACCGTTTAATATTAAAAAATATTTAAGAATATTTTGGTTACATGAACGAGATTTTTAGACGTAGAGTTTTGTTTTTTATTTGTTGTTGACGCAACATTATGGAGTAAAAAAAATTTATTTTGAAGAATTCTCAGATGTATCCGCCTTTAAAAAAGAACATATTCCTTTTTAAGCAGATTTTAGAACCACAACTTTCCTGTCTATTTCAGAAACGCATTTTAATTTAAGTATATTTAAAAAATATGTACTTATTCATATCGTAAATTGAATAATGTTTAGAAATTGGCGGATTTATTTGTTTAGAAATTCTATTTATGACATCATTAATAAGATAATAAGTGAAAAATTATTTTGATAATTTGATATATAATAGTTAAATTCGTTTTTTATTTACCTTATTTTTCCTTTATTATTTACTTTATTATTAAGGTAACAAAGATAATTATAAATTCTATTGACGAAGATCGCATAACCCGCATAAAGGTTATCTGTGTTTCTTGTCTATTTATCTCCTTATCTTTTTAATTTTTACCAACCTATAATTTTCGGATGAAAGGCCCGTGGATAATTTTAACAACATTCTCAGAATATCAACAACACATTCGTGTTATCTATGTGTATATGTGTTAAGTTCATGTGTCACAAATTCATGCAAATGTACTCGTTGCACTAAACGTTTACTAAATCATAAAAAAGCAAACTATCCGGATTGTCTAATTATAAGTTTTTAATCATTTATCGCCGATTACGTAACGTTGGCCCGTATCTGAACGCAAGTTCACAACATTAACATTTTCTTTCTATTGTTTCACCGCTTGTTGGAAATCCTGTACATTGCGCAACGACTGCACACGAACAAATTAACATATCAGATGCGCTAAAGACGCGTTTCTTGTTGGTGTGCAGTTTACTTTTCCTTGGCTCACTACGAGCTCAAGAGAACACAGGCGAAGAGAGTATAGTTTGTTTTTGAACGCTAGATAATTATCCGAATTATACTAACTTTTTTTTTTTTAGAAGAATCTAAAGATTTTCGAAAATTACGAGATAATGGTTTATTAATAGCAACAGTTTTACCAAAAACTCAAGATCTAGACAATTCCGCAGACTTGAAGAGGGTGAGAAGATGGCCATATGATGACGCCAGCTTAGGCGGCGGCGTGGGCGCCAGCTTAGGCGGCGGCGTGGGCGGCGGCGTGGGCGCCAGCTTAGGCGGCGGCGTGGGCGCCAGCTTAGGCGGCGGCGTGGGCACCAGCTTAGGCAGCGTGGTCGGCCGCGCGGTAGGCCAGTTGGGCACCAGCTTAGGCAGCGTGGTCGGCCGCGCGGTAGGCCAGTTGGACGCCAGCTTAGGCGGCGTGGGCGGCCGAGTGGTCGGCGAGTTGGACGCCAGCTTTGGCGCCGGCGTGAACGGCGGCGTGGGCGGCCGTCGTGTGGATGACCGTGTGGGCGGCCACGTGGGTAGTTATGGTGGTTATGGATCGGCATAGGAGGAGCTGGACGAAGTAGTGGAGGTCTAGGAGGTCATGGGGTTGGATTGGGAAGTGGCGGGTTCGGGAGGTGGTGGTGGTCTCGGAAGTGGGGGAAGTGGTGGTTTCAAAGGGGGTCTTGGAGGATCTGGAGGTCATGGAGGAGGTTCTGAAAAAGTGGTGATTGATATATGGTGTTCTTCAAATTAATGTGTATATAGCCTAGACTTTCCAATTTAATAAAATACTGGTATAAACCAGGAGTTAAATCTGATGCCAATTAAATCATACCATTAGAATAAATATGAAAACGATTCAACCAAACTCCCAAATCCTACCCATATTTAAAGCTGTTGGAAGAAAAGAATGAATAAGCAGGAAATCTGTGTTGTTTGACCTCTTAAGCAGTAAGAAAAAACCAATACATTTCAGGAGTAGGATCTAGGACAATTAAAACAACTATTTTAACATGCCAATATTTCGATTAAATTTTTAATCTTCCTCAGGGCTTGTTTCTACAACGACAAAATATCAATAGAAAAACAGCATTAAAAAATTTAACCTCTTAAACATACCTAAGTTCTTGAAACTGAATCAAACATTCATAACAGAAAAATCTTTTCTCTTGATAACATGGAAACGCACGTGTAAAAGTCAACGCGTACAATGAAAGGTTAAAAAACTTAAAAACTAAAAAACAACTAACGCCCTCCTCCGTGAAGTGGTTGAGAACGAGAATTACAAATAGCATGTACACAAATGAAAACAGGAAAAATACAAAACACAAATTGAAATTTCATGAAAATAACTAACAATCACTATCAACGACCAACAATTTGGTGTGTTTTCCCCTCAAAACTTATTATAAATATCGAAAATTAAAGAATAAATATTGCTAAGTGATCCTGTGTCTGTTTTAAAGTTAACAGTATGTTTTTCATTTCTAATGTAAATCATTTCCAGAAACAAACGGTTACAGTAATTATTTTCCTTATCTAAAATTTTTACGTTATCAAAATCAAACAGATGTCCAGTTGCCAAAGAGTGTTGGGAAAGAGCGCAACCATTGTTTTTACAGTTCTTAACTTCATTTCTAGGTTGGTTCATACGATTTTTTGGCCAATATAACAATAATGACACTCTCCACAAGGGATGACGTTAGATTGGTAGCTTAAGTAAGTAGAGAAATCTTTTTTAGTGATGCTATCCGACCAGGAACAAAAGTTAACTTCTTGTATCTAACAGGATCCTTTATAGTGTCACTATTGGTATTAACAAGGTTACTGATATTAAATAAACTTTTGTTGAGAAATTTATGTGGATATTGATTTTCTAAAAAGATGTTTTTTAAAATATTTAAATTCTTATGTAAAAATTGAGGATCTGAAATGTTAGTGATACGATGTTTCATAGCTAAAACAATGTTTATTTTATATTTAGTCTTATGGAAAGAACTGAAATGAATGTATCTACCTGAAAAAGTTTTTTTTGTATACCAATCAAACGTTAGCTTATTCTCAGAGTATCTGATGACTTTGGTGTCCAAAAAGGGGACGAAGTGGTATTCATTTTCAACCTCTATTGTGAATAGTATGTGTTTATTAAAATTATTGAAGGTTGTCAACACGTGGTCAACTGCAGTTTTGGGAATTGACAGTATGATATCATCTACATATTTTTTAATGAAAGTAACTTGAAAATTTAGTTTCGGAATGATTTTGTCTAACGTGTAGTCCATAAAAATTTGTGATAGAATGGGTGAGATGGGTGAATCTATTGGAGTACCAAAAATTTGTTTATAAGTAGTGTTATCGAAGGTAAAATAAGCGTTTTCAAAAACAACATTCAAAATATTTACAAATAAATCCTGATCAATGTCAAAAATGTCAGAAACAAGAGACCATCTTTCTTTGATTATATCTACAACCAAGGACATAGCGATGTTTGTAAAAAGATTTACAATAAAATCATTAGGTAACAACGTGTCTCTCAATTCATTAACAAAGTCCAACGTATCTTCAACATTATAACTACTTATACCTTCAAAAGCTTGTGTTACGATCTTAGTGAAGAATGACGAAATCTCATAAGTAGCAGAGCCCACAGAAGAGATTATCGGTCTTAATGGTATAGTCTCCGATTTTTCTGGTGGTTTTTATGACTTAATTGCGGTCATATAATGGACAAAGACGGGGTTCTAAACAGGTAGTTGACGAACCCCAATCTCGGGCGCGAGTTGTTCAGATCCGCATTAACGGAAATTACAAAAACATAATATTTAAAAACAATATTAATATAATTCGTGAGCAATGTAATAATATTTCTCCGAATTGTGGTCGCAGTGCATAAAACACCTGAAAGATGTCGAAGATTTGCATGTGTCGCCACATGTACATCGTTTTATTATTAGTGTTGATGATTCTTCTGATGACTACAGCTTAGAATGCGCGGAAAGTGACAACTGTTATTATGACAATGATGAAGAATCTTGAATTAACGACAATCGCCGGTTAGAAATGTTAAATAATTCAAATTGAAATAAAATAAAAAAAGAAGTGCGTCCCTGGACTTAGTTCACTAGGAGGGCCTATCATAAATCACGATCAGGGACTTTTTCGGGGTGATAATTACTGCTGCTACTATTTCTGAGGGTCATAAAAACCACCAGAAAAATCGGAGACTATATGTCATGTTTATGTATTTTACCCGCGGCCCGCCTCGGATAATTTTGCGGCCCGCGAGATTTATTAATTTACCAATAAAAACAACCTAAATTTACCAGCTAATAACAAATTATATGTAAAAGAAAAAAAAGAGCTTGATAATTTTATTTTTAAAAGTTAGATCTGGTTATTTATGGAGCTTTAGAAGAAATACTGTCAACATGTGGAAGTAGTTAAATACTTGGCGCCTGGAAGTCCAGCCCCAATATCCTCATTGTAAATCGGTTATAATAAGAGAACCTATCCCTAGAAATTCGACTTCTTTTATTGTTTATTTATTGTCCTTCAAAAACCCTTTTGAGTAACCCCTCTATTGCAATGCCTGGCTAGGTCCTTGTTTGCCGGTGGCTGTGTAAAAAACGGCGTTATAATCTGTCCGCTCACTTTGACTATTGAAGTGCGTCAGTGCTAGTTGATAA